CTCCAAGATGGGTGTATGTTGTATGTTGTATGCGTCATACTGGTGGTGTATACTCCAAGGTGGGTGTATGTTGTATGTTGTATGTTATATGCGTCATACTGGTGGTGTATACTCCAAGGTGGGTGTATGTTGCATGTTGTATGTTATATGCGTCATACTGGTGGTATATACTCCAAGGTGGGTGTATGTTGTATGTTGTATGTTGTATGCGTCATACTGGTGGTGTATACTCCAAGGTGGGTGTATGTTGTATGTTGTATGTTGTATGCGTTATACTGGTGGTGTATACTCCAAGGTGGGTGTATGTTGTATGTTGTATGTTGTATGCATCATACTGGTGGTGTATACTCCAAGGTGGGTGTATGTTGTATGTTGTATGCGTCATACTGGTGGTGTATACTCCAAGGTGGGTATATGTTGTATGCGTCATACTGGTGGTGTATACTCCAAGGTGGGTGTATGTTGTATGCGTCATACTGGTGGTGTATACTCCAAGGTGGGTGTATGTTGTATGTTGTATGCGTCATACTGGTGGTATATACTCCAAGGTGGGCGTATGTTGTATGTTGTATGCGTCATACTGGTGGTGTATACTCCAAGGTGGGTGTATGTTGTATGTTGTATGCGTCATGCTGGTGGTGTATACTCCAAGGTGGGTGTATGTTGTATGTTGTATGCGTCATACTGGTGGTGTATACTCCAAGGTGGGTGTATGTTGTATGTTGTATGCGTCTTACTGGTGGTGTATACTCCAAGGTGGGTGTATGTTGTATGTTGTATGCGTCTTACTGGTGGTGTATACTCCAAGGTGGGTGTATGTTGTATGTTGTATGCGTCTTACTGGTGATGTATACTCCAAGGTGGGTGTATGTTGTATGTTGTAGGCGTCATTCTGGTGGTGTATACTCCAAGGTGGGTGTATGTTGTATGCTTCATACTGGTGGTGTATACTCCAAGGTGGGTATATGTTGTATGCGTCATACTGGTGGTGTATACTCCAAGGTGGGTGTATGTTGTATGTTGTATGCGTCTTACTGGTGGTGTATACTCCAAGGTGGGTGTATGTTGTATGTTGTATGCGTCTTACTGGTGGTGTATACTCCAAGGTGGGTGTATGTTGTATGTTGTATGCGTCTTACTGGTGATGTATACTCCAAGGTGGGTGTATGTTGTATGTTGTAGGCGTCATTCTGGTGGTGTATACTCCAAGGTGGGTGTATGTTGTATGCTTCATACTGGTGGTGTATACTCCAAGGTGGGTATATGTTGTATGCGTCATACTGGTGGTGTATACTCCAAGGTGGGTGTATGTTGTATGTTGTATGCGTCTTACTGGTGGTGTATACTCCAAGGTGGGTGTATGTTGTATGTTGTATGCGTCTTACTGGTGGTGTATACTCCAAGGTGGGTGTATGTTGTATGTTGTATGCGTCTTACTGGTGATGTATACTCCAAGGTGGGTGTATGTTGTATGTTGTAGGCGTCATTCTGGTGGTGTATACTCCAAGGTGGGTGTATGTTGTATGCTTCATACTGGTGGTGTATACTCCAAGGTGGGTATATGTTGTATGCGTCAAACTGGTGGTGTATACTCCAAGGTGGGTGTATGTTGTATGTTGTATGCATCTTACTGGTGGTGTATACTCCAAGGTGGGTGTATGTTGTATGTTGTATGCGTCTTACTGGTGGTGTATACTCCAAGGTGGGTGTATGTTGTATGTTGTATGCGTCTTACTGGTGATGTATACTCCAAGGTGGGTGTATGTTGTATGATGTAGGCGTCATTCTGGTGGTGTATACTCCAAGGTGGGCGTATGTTGTATGTTGTATGTTATATGCGTCATACTGGTGGTGTATACTCCAAGGTGGGTGTATGTTGCATGTTGTATGTTATATGCGTCATACTGGTGGTGTATACTCCAAGGTGGGTGTATGTTGTATGTTGTATGTTGTATGCGTCATACTGGTGGTGTATACTCCAAGGTGGGTGTATGTTGTATGTTGTATGTTGTATGCGTCATACTGGTGGTGTATACTCCAAGGTGGGTGTATGTTGTATGCGTCATACTGGTGGTGTATACTCCAAGATGGGTGTATGTTGTATGTTGTATGCGTCATACTTGTGGTGTATACTCCAAGGTGGGTGTATGTTGTATGTTGTATGTTGTATGCGTCATACTGGTGGTGTATACTCCAAGGTGGGTGTATGTTGTATGCGTCATACTGGTGGTGTATACTCCAAGGTGGGTGTATGTTGTATGCGTCATACTGGTGGTGTATACTCCAAGGTGGGTGTATGTTGTATGTTGTATGCGTCATACTGGTGGTGTATACTCCAAGGTGGGTGTATGTTGTATGCGTCATACTGGTGATGTATACTCCAAGATGGGTGTATGTTGTATGTTGTATGCGTCATTCTGGTGGTGTATACTCCAAGATGGGTGTATGTTGTATGTTGTATGCGTCATACTGGTGGTGTATACTCCAAGATGGGTGTATGTTGTATGTTGTATGCGTCATACTGGTGGTGTATACTCCAAGATGGGTGTATGTTGTATGTTGTATGCGTCATACTGGTGGTGTATACTCCAAGATGGGTGTATGTTGTATGTTGTATGCGTCATACTGGTGGTGTATACTCCAAGATGGGTGTATGTTGTATGTTGTATGCGTCATACTGGTGGTGTATACTCCAAGATGGGTGTATGTTGTATGTTGTATGCGTCATACTGGTGGTGTATACTCCAAGGTGGGTGTATGTTGTATGTTGTATGTTGTATGCGTCATACTGGTGGTGTATACTCCAAGATGGGTGTATGTTGTATGTTGTATGCGTCATACTGGTGGTGTATACTCCAAGGTGGGTGTATGTTGTATGTTGTATGCGTCTTACTGGTGATGTATACTCCAAGGTGGGTGTATGTTGTATGTTGTATGCGTCATACTGGTGGTGTATACTCCAAGGTGCCTACAGAAATGCATGTATGCTCATGTAGGTGCAATAATGTCCTCTCATACAACTGGTATACTTTTCTTGCGGTTTCAAGAGAACGACTGTTTAGCCTGACCTGAAGCAGGCAACAACAGCCTGCTCTATCATGCAGCCAATAACAGCCTGCTGGATCAAGCAAGTAACAACAGCCTGCTGGATCAAGCAGGCAACAACAGCCTGTTGGATCAGGCAGGTAACAACAGCCTGCTGGATCAAGCAGGTAACAACAGCCTGCTGGATCAGGCAGGTAACAACAACGTGCTGGATCCAGCAGGGAACAACAGCCTGCTGGATCAGGCAGCATCAGCAACCTGCTGGATCAAGTAGGCAACAACAGCCTGCTGAATCAGGCAGGCAACAGCAGCCTGCTCGATCAGGCAGGTAACAACAACCTGCTGGATCATGCAGGTAACAACAGCCTGCTGGATCAGGCAGGCAACAACAGCCTGCTGGATCAAGCAGGCAAAAACAGCCTGCTTTATCAGGCAGGCAACAACAGCCTGCTGGATCAAGCAGAAAACAACAGCCTGCTGGATCATGCTGGCAACAACAACCTGCTGGATCAAGCAGGGAACAACAGCCTACTAGATCAGGCGGCATCAGTAGCCTGCTGGATCGAGTAGGCAACAACAGCCTGCTGGATCCGGCAGGTAACAACAGCCCGCTGGATCCAGCAGGCAACAACAGCCTGTTGGATCAAGCAGGCAACAACAGTTTACTGGATCAGGCAGGCAACAACAATCTGCTGTATCAGGAAGGCAACAACAGCCTGCTGGATCAGACAGGTAACAGCCTGCTGGATCAAGCAGGCAACAACAGTCTGCTGGATCAGGCAGGTAACAGCCTGCTGGATCAAGCAGGCAACAACAGCCTGCTGTATCATGCAGGCAATAACACCCTGCTGGATCAAGCAGGCAACAACAGCCTGCTGAATCAGGCAGGCAAGAACAGCCTGTTGGATCAAGCAGGCAACAACAACCTGCTGGATCAAGCAGGCAACAACAGCCTGCTGAATCAGGCAGACAACAACAGTCTGCTGAATCAGGTAGGCAACAACAGCTTGCTGGATCAGGCAGGTAACAGCTTGATGGATCAGGCAGGTAACAGCCTGTTGGATCAAGCAGGCATCAACAGCCTGCTTTATCAGGCAGGTGACAACAGCCTGCTGGATCAGGCACTCATGTAGGAAGCTTGACCTCGGATCCTTCAATGGTGTAGGGTTCGTGAACCACAGGATTTGAGCTGCCCTCATGTTGATAAATTAGACACATGTGCAACTCTTGGGTATCTTTATTGAGGAAACGTTTCGCCACACAGTGGCTTCATCAGTCCATACGTAGGAGAAACTTGAAGAACAGGAGGAGAATGAGGTAATCAGTCCCTCAACCTTGAGTCGATGTGTTCAGTCCATCAATCTTGGACTGAACACCTCGACTCAAGGTTGAGGGACTGATTACCTCATTCTCCTCCTGTTCTTCAAGATTCTCCTTTGTATGGACTGATGAAGCCACTGTGTGGCGAAACGTTTCCTCAATAAAGATACCCAAGAGTTGCACATGTGTCTAATTTATCAACATGTCGGTTCTCTGAACCATTCATCTACAAATCTGCCCTCATGTTCTTGATCCAAGGAAGATTTGCGATCATCATCATTATTATTATTATTATTATTATTATTATTATTATTATTATTATTATTATTATTATTATTATTCAATGGAGTAAACTCAGCACTTTATGGAGTAAATTCATAAGTGTAGGGAGAGAGGGGAGAGAGAGAGAGAGAGAGAGAGAGAGACAGAGAGAGAGAGAGAGAGAGAGAGAGAGAGAGAGAGAGAGAGAGAGAGAGAGAGAGAGAGAGAGAGAGAGAAAGACAGAGAGACAGAGACAGAGAGAGACAAAGAGAGAAAGAGAGAGTCAGAGAGAAAGAGAGAAACAGAGTGAGACAGAATGGTCCTAACACACCCATCAAGTGCTTTAACCTGGTCTTTTTCTCTGTCAAAACAAGGAAAGACCGAATGAGACGCGGGTCAGAGACAAGCAGACGGAGCGAGAGTGCCAATGGTTCCAGGTAACTGTTCGTGCCAACACTACCTATGCACCGCCATTATATACACGCTAAAATACACATTATTTTAGGAGCTTTAATGCCTGCAAAAATACAGTTGTATTCTGTTGTATTTATGACCCTGTATATCTTGCTTCAGTACTTGTATATTGCGTTGTATTTTTTGTAGAAGGTATGTTTAGTGTATGTTGTGTAGTGCCTCTGTACCTGTCACTGCCATGCATTGTACTTGGGTTCAAGCCTGTTGGCTACACGAGGGTCATTAAGACTGCATGCCACCTGTACTCCATATGTACTCCAACAGTCAAGAATACAGTGGAACTTCAGTTTTCGTACGATCCGAATATCGTACAATTCGGATTTAGAACACTTTTTGGGAGGAAATTTTGGTTCGGATTTCCTACCTCCATCCGGAAATTGTAGGTATTAGATGCGTCCGCCCGCGTCACTGGTTGAGTGAGCGTTCACCCGAAACATTTCGCAATTTTTGTGCTTGTTTATTGATTGTGGCTGAGAAATAAGCCACCTTGGGCTCAAAGAAAGCTCCTAGTGCCAGCCCTTTGGTAAAGAAGGTGAAAAACATAATAGAATTCAAGAGGGATTGTAGAACAATACGAAAGTGGCGTACCTAGCCGAGCTTGCCAGGATGCATGCGAAGTCGAAATCAACACTCTGTTCCATCCTGGCAAAGTAAAAATCAAGGAAGCTAAAGTTGCAAAAGGGGAAAATATGCTAACGAAAAAGAGATCGCCAACAGTCGAAGATGTGGAAAAGTTGTTGGTGTGGATCAACGGAAAACAGTTAGAGGGAGATAGTGTTGGGGCCTCGATCATTTGCATTTTCTTTACGAGATCCACATGCAACTACCTTGCCGAAAAGGCAAGGCAGTTGCATGTGGATCTCGTAAAGAAAATGCCTTGAACGAGTGCTGCTGTTAGTGAATTTAAGGCCAGCAAAGGCTGGTTCAACAGACAGTGGCATACACAGTGTTGTAAGACATGGTGAGGCTGCAAGTTCAGACAAACGTGTGGCCAAAGAATTCGTTGATGAATTCAAGGAATACGTAGAGGCTGGAGGTTTCCTACCCCAACAAGTGTTTAGTTGTGACGAAAGAGGCCTCTTTTGAAACGCGGGAAGGTGCCTTCTTCTGTGATTAAGGACATGTGTGCAAAGCGGAATGAATTGCAAACTTTTGTTGAAAAATATCACCTTGACCAAGCTGATACAAGCCGTATATGCAACATGTTCAGTGACAATACATTGTCCCAGAAACAGAGCTCTCTGGACACATTTTTAGTACGACAGGGGTACAGTGCCAGTAACAGACAAAGAAGGGAAGTAACCCTAGAGAGAACTTTGATACCTGAAGTCTTTTTGGAGGGGGATTCCAATAACCTCAACTCCCTCTCCCCTCCTCAAGTTCTTCAATACGCCAACAAGAGTCTTCAATAAAGGTATGTAATGTTTATTTATCATTAAAGTGAGTCATTTATATTTATTTCTCATTGTTTTTCTGTATGAAAACTATAGTTATTCGTTAAAAAAAAATATTTTTTGTTAATATTTTTGGGTATCTGAAACGGATTAATTGTATTTGCATCATTTCTTATGAGAAATATTACTTCAGTTTTCGTACGTTTCGGATTTAGACCGACCTTATGGAACAGATTAAGTATGAAATCCGGAGTTCCACTGTACTTTAATACCTAAAATAGGTATTAATGTAAACTACCGGTGTATTTACACTGAAAGATACGCACCTCTCAGTTTATATATATACACAAGAACCACTCTTATGTCTTACTCGCAGTCTTTTGTTTTTATACTTCCTTGAGCGTATGAGAAATCACGAAAGCGCTTGGAATTTCACGATTTTTTTCCACAGTGGTTGTTCCGCATATTGTGATATCACCTGTTTACTGTGATCTTATTCCATATGTATATGTATATATATATATATATATATATATATTATATATATATATATATATATATATATATATATATATATATATATATATAATATATATATATATATATATATATATATGTCGTACCGATAGGAGTGAATGGAGACAAATGGTTTTTAATACTTGACGTGCTGTTGGAGTGTGAGCAAAGTAACATTTATGAAGGGGTTCAGGGAAACCGGCAGGCCGGACTTGAGTCCTGGAGATGGGAAGTACAGTGCCTGCACTCTGAAGGAGGGGTGTTAATGTTGCAGTTTAAAAACTGTAGTGTAAAGCACCCTTCTGGCAAGACAGTGATGGAGTGAATGATGGTGAAAGTTTTTCTTTTTCGGGCCACCCTGCCTTGGTGGGAGACGGCCAGTGTGATACTAATAATAAATATATATGTGTGTGTATATATATATATATATATATATATATATATTATATATATATATATATATAATATATATATATATATATATATATATATATTTATAATCAATGTACCATGCAGACACAAGTGGAAGGATATGCAGAGAAAAATCGCAGTCAGCAGGATTCGAAGCCACGTGTGGGGAGTGGTACGGCTTCCAATGTAAAGCTTTGGACCACTGAGCCACAAATGCGACAAAAAGCTAGGTAGCTTGGTTACAAGCCAAGTTTCACCCTAGCCCCGGGCGCACCAGTGAGCCTAAGGCATGGTTTCCAGCTATTTTGTTCTCTTTGTGTGGTCACAACAGTGAGTGGTGCATTGAGGAGTGTTTGGAGACAAACAACTTTATCCATGGAAGCAAAGAGGGAAATGTATGGAAATACAGTTATACCAACACTCTTATATGGGTGTGAAGCATGGGTGGTGAATTTTGCAGCGAGGAGAAGGCTGGAGGCAGTGGAGATGTCATGTCTGAGGGCAATGTGTGGTGTGAATATTATGCAGAGAATTCGTAGATTGAAGATTAGAAGGAGGTGCAGGGTTACTAAAAGTATTATCTAGATGACAGAGAAAGGGTTGTGTTGTTGAGGTATTTCGGACATTTAAAGAGTATGGCACAAAATAGAATGACTTGCAGAGCGTATATATCTGTAGTGTTGGAAGGTAGGGGTTGTCCTAGGAAAGATTGGAGGGATGGGTTAAAGGTTTTGTGAGTGAGAGACTTAGACATCCAGTCATCTTATATAGGAGTGAGTGGAAGCCAAGGGTTTTTATGACTTGATGTGCTGTTGGAGTGTGAACAAGGTAACATTTATAAAGTGGTTCATGAAAACAGGTTAGCTGGACTTGAGTCCTGGAGGTGGGAAATACAGTTCCTACACTATGAAGGAGAGATGATGGTAGGGGTGAGAATATTCGCAGTTTTGCGCTGTAGTGTGGGCGCCCCTCTGGCAAGACAGTGATGGACTGTTAAAATAATGGTCCTGGAAAAGACTTTTTAGGCTGAAATATCACTTCATGCACGATCTCACAAATGTTATAAATTAAAAATGAATCTAACTTACATAACCCTGAACTAATATTCATATTAAATTCAATACTATTTTTTAAGAAACTTGATTCAGTTATATTTCTCTCAGTCATAGACCTGCCTTTATATATTTATATATATATATATATATATATATATATATATATATATATATATATATTTATATATATATATATATAATATATACATATATATATATATATTATATATATGCAAGAATCGCGAACAAGCGATACAAGATGCAAAACAACAAAAGGAAGTTGAATAATAACGCCTCTCATATTGCAATCACGACAACATCATTTCTGCAACTTTTCAAACTCCTGATGATGTGTTGATTGCAATACGAGACGCCTAGAGCTATCATTCAACCCCCAGTGGTTGTTATACATAAGATTGTTCCAGAGTGCCTGAAGCTGCTGTGTATCTGAAGAAAAGTATAGAAACGTATTGTGCTGATTATTGTATTATTGTATTATTGTATTGCTTGTCCTCACCTGCAGCTGTATTGTGTATGATTATTGTATAAGATTTTGTTATGATTGTGCACCGATTTGCCTGAAGAACCTGTGATTGTACTTGTATTTTAAGGTCTCTCTCTCTCTCTCTCTCTCTCTCTCTCTCTCTCTCTCTCTCTCTCTCTCTCGCTCAGTTTTAATTAGTTTGCTAATAATATGAACTTAAAAATTATTAGTTATAGTCAACCTATAATGTCTTGAGCTGGTTATAGTGAACCTATAATGTCTTGAGCTGGTTATAGTGAATCTATAATGTCTTGAGCTGGTTATAATGAACCTATAATGTCTTGAGCTGGTTATAGTGAACCTATAATGTCTTGAGCTGGTTATAGTGAACCTATAATGTCTTGAGTGGTTATAGTGAACCTATAATGTCTTGAGCTGGTTATAGTGAACCTATAATGTCTTAAGTTGGTTATAGTGAACCTATAATGTCTTGAGCTGGTTATAGTGAACCTATAATGTCTTGAGCTGGTTATAGTGAGCCTATAATGTCTTGAGCTGGTTATAGTGAACCTATAATGTCTTGAGCTGGTTATAGTGAACCTATAATGTCTTGAGCTGGTTATAGTGAACCTATAATGTCTTGAGCTGGTTATAGTGAACCTATAATGTCTAGAGCTGGTTATAGTGAACCCATAATGTCTTGAGCTGGTTATAGTGAACCTATAATGTCTTGAGCTGGTTATAGTGAACCTATAATGTCTTGAGCTGGTTATAGTGAACCTATAATGTCTTAAGTTGGTTATAGTGAACCTATAATGTCTTGAGCTGGTTATAGTGAACCTATAATGTCTTAAGTTGGTTATAGTGAACCTATAATGTCTAGAGCTGGTTATAGTGAACCTATAATGTCTTGAGCTGGTTATAGTGACCCTATAATGTCTTGAGCTGGTTATAGTGAACCTATAATGTCTTGAGCTGGTTATAGTGAACCTATAATGTCTAGAGCTGGTTATAGTGAACCTATAATGTCTTGAGCTGGTTATAGTGAACCTATAATGTCTTGAGCTGGTTATAGTGAACCTATAATGTCTTGAGCTGGTTATAGTGAACCTATAATGTCTTGAGCTGGTTATAGTGAACCTATAATGTATTGAGCTGGTTATAGTGAACCTCTAATGTCTTAAGTTGGTTATAGTGAACCTATAATGTCTTGAGCTGGTTATAGTGAACCTATGATGTCTTAAGTTGGTTATAGTGAACCTATAATGTCTTGAGCTGGTTATAGTGAACCTATAATGTCTTAAGTTGGTTATAGTGAACCTATAATGTCTAGAGCTGGTTATAGTGAACCTATAATGTCTTGAGCTGGTTATAGTGAACCTATAATGTCTTGAGCTGGTTATAGTGAACCTATAATGTCTTAAGTTGGTTATAGTGAACCTATAATGTCTTGAGCTGATTATAGTGAACCTATAATGTCTTGAGCTGGTTATAGTGAACCTATAATGTCTTGAGCTGGTTATAGTGAACCTATAATGTCTTGAGCTGGTTATAGTTAACCTATAATGCCTTTAGCTGGTTATAGTTAACCTATAATGCCTTTAGCTGGTTATAGTGAACCTATAATGTCTTACGTAGGTTACTGCCAACCTATAATATTTCTGTTAGGTTCTATACCAACTAACAGTATCTTGTATAGGCTGTACTAGGCCTGTTGTAGGCTGCTACAGTCAGCCTATAATGCTTGCTATATGCAGTGTATAATTAGCAGCTTTGTATTGGCCCTACTGTATTAATTAATGTATGAATATGCATGATTCACGTATCAACATGTATGATTCACGTGTGAACATGTGTAATTCACGTATCAACATGTATGATTCACGTGTGAACATGTATGATTCACGTACCAACATGTATGATTTACGTGTGAACATGTATGATTCACGTACCAACATGTATGATTCACGTGTGAATATGTATGATTCACGTACCAACATGTATGATTCACGTACCAACATGTATGATTCACGTATCAACATGTATGATCATGTCTTGGCTATAATCAGGCTGTTATAGAAGGTTGAGTAGATTATAAGCAGCTGCCTACGACATATTATTTTTGGTTATAGTCAAGTTAGGTTAATAATATTTCTCTCTCTCAGGTATTGCATGACCCCTACGGGTTTACCACTCTCTTGTGTAAACAACCTAACGTTTTCCGGGTTGCGAAGAGGCGTAGTGATGCACTGGTCACTGTGAATCACTGCATTGGTCACTGTGAATCACTGCATTGGTCACTGTGAATCACTGCACTGGTCACTGTAAATCACTGCACTGATCACTGTGAATCACTGCATTGGTCACTGTGAATCACTGCACTGGTCACTGTAAATCACTGCACTGGTCACTGTAAATCACTGCACTGGTCACTGTGAATCACTGCACTGGTCACTGTAAATCACTGCATTGGTCACTGTAAATCACTGCACTGGTCACTGTGAATCACTGCATTGGTCACTGTAAATCACTGCACTGGTCACTGTGAATCACTGCATTGGTCACTGTAAATCACTGCACTGGTCACTGTAAATCACTGCACATGTATTAATAGTTTACATTTGTACCAACAGAGGAGACGAGAGAGGACTGTCAAGGAAACACATAGTGGAGTCTGTCAAGGCCTCACTGGAGCGTCTTCAGTTGGATTATATTGACGTATTGATCATCCACAGAGCTGATGACATGTGTCCCATGGAAGGTAATTGTTCCTGTTCAGAATTGTTCATCACTATAGGTGGTTCAGGAGTGATGGGACTAATGGTCAATTATTAGCTGGTTCACCGGACATATTCAACATTATCTTACAACTTAATGTGGCCCGGTGGCCTGGTAGCCTGGTGGAGGTGGCCCGGTGGCCTGGTGGCTAAAGCTCCCGCTTCACACACGGAGGGCCCGGGTTCGATTCCCGGCGGGTGGAAACATTTCGACACGTTTCCTTACACCTGTTGTCCTGTTCACCTAGCAGCAAATAGGTACCTGGGTGTTAGTCGACTGGTGTGGGTGGCATCCTGGGGGACAAGATTAAGGACCCAATGTAAATAAGTTAGACAGTCCTCGATGACGCACTGACTTTCTTGGGTTATCCTGGGTGGCTAACCCTCCGGGGTTAAAAATCCGAACGAAATCTTATCTTATCTTAATGTGGATGTATTGCGTTTTAAAGCAAACTTGAAGTGTATATATTGATGAATGTTGAAGAATGGCATACCTGTGCAACATTTGGGAATGTTTTATTGGGGAAACGTTTCGCCAACGAGTAGTTTCTTCAGTCGAATTCAAATAATAGTGGAAGGTGATGGGAAGACTGAAGCAGTCAGTCCCTCAACCTGGAGTCTGTGTTGAGTTAATTATTCACTGGAATATACAAACGTCAATGTATATATGTACTAATGTTGGTAGTATATACACATCAGAATATTTTTTACTAATAAATATATTTCTGAGATTGCATTTTACTAAAAGTATTACAATAAAAATTAGTTTCCTGTAGTAATAATATATTTATAATTATGATAATATAAACAGAGTATGCTTATATTATCATAATTATTATTGCAAGAAGTCCCTCTCATGTGCTTTTATCATCCTATGGAGAGGGATCATGAACACAGGTCATCCCACACTCACTAAAGACAACAGACACAGCCCCACTCCACAAAGGTGGCAGTAAAGCAAAGAACTACAGACTGATAGCACTAACATCCCATATCATAAAAATCTTGAGAGGGTTCTAAGAAGCAAGATCACCAACCATCTAGATACTCATCAGTTACACAAGCCAGGGCAACACGGGTTTAGAGCAGGTCGCTCCTGCCTGTCCCAGCTACTGGACCACTATGACAAGGTCCTGGATGCTGTAGAGGATTAACAAAATATATATGTATTATACACAGACTTTGCGAAAGTCATTGACAAGTGTGACCATGGTGTAACAGCGCACATAAATGCGTGATAAAGGAATAACAGGAAAAGTTGGTAGATGGATCTATAACTTCCTAGCAAACAGAACACAAAGAGTAGTAGTCAACAGAGTAAAGTCTGAGGCAGCTACGGTGAAAAGCTCTGTTCCACAAGGCACAGTACTCGCTCCCAGTGTTCCACAAGGCACGGTACTCGCTCCCAGTGTTCCACAAGGCACGGTACTCGCTCCCAGTGTTCCACAAGGCACAGTACTCGCTCCCAGTGTTCCACAAGGCACAGTACTCGCTCCCAGTGTTCCACAAGGCACAGTACTCGCTCCCAGTGTTCCATAAGGCACGGTACTCGCTCCCAGTGTTCCACAAGGCACAGTACTCGCTCCCAGTGTTCCACAAGGCACAGTACTCGCTCCCAGTGTTCCACAAGGCACAGTACTCGCTCCCAGTGTTCCACAAGGCACAGTACTCGCTCCCAGTGTTCCATAAGGCACGGTACTCGCTCCCAGTGTTCCACAAGGCACAGTACTCGCTCTCAGTGTTCCACAAGGCACAGTACTCGCTCCAGTGTTCCACAAGGCACAGTACTCGCTCTCAGTGTTCCACAAGGCACAGTACTCGCTCCCAGTGTTCCACAAGGCACGGTACTCGCTCCCAGTGTTCCACAAGGCACAGTACTCGCTCCCAGTGTTCCATAAGGCACAGTACTCGCTCCCAGTGTTCCACAAGGCACAGTATTCACTCCCATCCTGTTCCTCATCCTCATGTCTGACATAGACAGAGATGTAAGCCACAGCACCGTGTCTTTCTTTGCAGATGACACCAGAATTGCCATGACAGTGTCATGGTAGGTAGAAAAGAATATGAAGTTCAATGAAGAGAAATCTCAACTACTAAGATATGGAAAACTTGAGTAAATTAAAAGTTCATCAGAGTATAAAACAAATTCCAACCACACAACAGAGCGAAAAACTAATGTGAAAGACCTGGGAGTGATAATGTCAGTGGATCTCACCTTCAAAGATCACGACAATGTATCTACCGCATCTGCTAGGAAAATGACAGGATGGATAATGAAACTTTTAAAACTAGGGATGCCAAGCCCATAATGATTCTCTTCAAATCAGTTGTGCTCTCTAGGCTGGAGTATTGCTGTACAGTAACTGCCACCTTCAAGGCTGGCGACATTGCTGATCTGGAGAGTGTACAGAAAACTTTCACAGCACACGTATGTACAATAAAGCACCTTAATTACTTGGAACGGTTGAAGTCCCTTGATTTGTACTCACTGGAACGCAGGTGGAGAAGATACATGATAATATACACTTGGAAAATCCTAGAGGGAATAGTACCAAACTTACACACGAAAATCACTCCCTATGAAAGCAAAAGTCTCGGCAGGAGATACAACATTCCCACAATGAAAAGTAGGGGCGCCACGAGTACACTCAGAGACAAAATCTCAAAGTTTACTATTCGACCACACACACAACAAATATATATATTATATATATATATATATATTATATATATTCTATAATAAAATATTATATATATATATATATATATATTTATATACAGAGCACTTACAACTTTTACAAGCACGGTAAGAACCATAACGTCCAGCAGTGAAGGTAAGTCTGCCAGAACTACTCCACAAGTGTACCACATCACTTCACAGCTCTGGTGAGCTGTGATTGGCTGGTTGAACAAAGGTACTGGAGCCCTTTGTTAAACCCTGAGCATCGGTTTCACTAGTCGGGAGGCATGAAGATATATATGGGTATGTGACATACCCTGATTAAAATATAACACACTCATAGCATGACATATAATATAACCCTAGTAATAAGATAGGAGCACAGTGAAGGTAGACTGACAGTCAGCACAGTGAAGGTAGACTGAGAGTCAGCACAGTGAAGGTAGACTGACAGTCAGCACACAGCACAGTCAAGGTAGACTGACAGTCAGCACACAGCACAGTCAAGGTAGACTGACAGTCAGCACACAACACAGTCAAGGTAGACTGACAGTCAGCACACAGCACAGTCAAGGTAGACTGACAGTCAACGCACAGCACAGTGAAGGTAGACTGACAGTCAGCACACAGCACAGTCAAGGTAGACTGACAATCAGGAGACAGCACAGTCAAGGTAGACTGACAGTCACCACACAGCACAGTCAAGGTAGACTCACAGTCAGCACAGAGCACAGTGAAGGTAGACTGACAGTCACCACACAACACAGTGAAGGTAGACTGACAGTCAGCACACAGAACAGTCAAGGTAGACTGACAGTCACCACATTGAAGGTAGACTGACAGTCAGCACACAGCACAGTCAAGGTAGACTGACAGTCAGCACACAGCACAGTGAAGGTAAACTAACAGTCATCACAGTGAAGGTAGACTGACAGTCATCACAGTGAAGGTAGACTGACAGTCACCACAGTGAAGGCAGACTGACAGTCACCACAGTGAAGGTAGACTGACAGTCATCACACAGCACAGTGAAAGGTAGACTGACCCGTCATCAAAGCAAGTGAAGGTTTGACTGACAGTCAGCACACAGCTCAGTGAAGGTAGACTGACAGTCACCACAGTGAAGGTAGACTGACAGTCATCACAGTGAAGGTAGACTGACAGTCACCACAGTGAAGGTAGACTGACAGTCACCACAGTGAAGGTAGACTGACAGTCACCACAGTGAAGGTAGACTGACAGTCATCACACAGCACAGTGAGGTAGACTGACAGTCACCACAGTAAAGGTAGACTGACAGTCATCACACAGCACAGTGAAGGTACACTGACAGTCATCACACAGCACAGTGAAGGTAGATTGACAGTCATCACACAGCACAGTGAAGGTAGACTGACAGTCATCACACAGCACAGTGAAGGTAGACTGACAGTCATCACACAGCACAGTGAAGGTAGACTGACAGTCATCACACAGCACAGTGAAGGTAGACTGACAGTCATCCACAGCACAGTGAAGGTAGATGACAGTCATCACACAGCACAGTGAAGGTAGACTGACAGTCATCACACAGCACAGTGAAGGTAGACTGACTCACTTTCCTATTACTACCTCTACTACCACTACTACTACCTTTACTACTATCACTACTAGTACCACTACTACTACCACTGCTACTACCACTGCTACTACTACTACTACTACTACTACGACTACTACTCCACTGCTACTACTACTACTACTACTATACTCCACTATACCATTACTACTACCATATAGTGTTCTAGTACTACCATGCTACTATACTCTACCATACTATACCACTGCTACTACTACTACTTACTCATATACTACTACTACCCTATACTGCTGACTACCACTACTACCACTACCATCTTATTACTAACTACCACTACTACTCTAACACCCACTACTTCTACTACCGCTACTACTACTACCACTACTATTACTACCCCTATACTACTAACACCATACTACTCTAACAACCAAACCCCTATTTACTAACTACCACTACTCTACTAAGCACTAACCACCACTATTACTAACTACCACTATACTACTAACACCACCACTTATATACTAATACCACCATTCTACTATAATACCACCATACACTACTACCGCTATATACTACCATTTTATTATACCACTACTACTACCACACTACTATACTACCGCTACTATACTACCCTACTATTACTAACACTATACTACTAACTACCTACTACTATTATAACTACAACTACTATACTAAGCACTAACCACCCCTATTTCTAACTCACCCCTATATAATAACTACCCCCATTCTACTACTACCCCTATACTACTACCCCTACTACTACTACCAAATACATTTTCTATACTGCTATTAC